TGGGTCCAGTTGTCCCCACTCCTCCTGGGTGAAAGTCACAGCTACATCCTCGAAGGTCACAGACCCCTGGAAAGTCAATCAGAGGGAACACTGTTGGTCGTGGGGCTGTTCCAAGAGACAGGAGAGTCTGTTTCACTGAAAAACATGCAAAGAGATCAAGGCCTAAATCACATGGTGTTTCCCAAGGGCCATGCTCCATGCTGGGCTGGAGAAGGAAGGAGGAGCTGCTTCAACATAATACCATGTAAGGGAAAGATGCTGCTTATGCAAGAACAGTCAATGGGATCAAATTCTGCACTGTGAGATGTAGACAGAAGGGCTCTAGGACATCAGAGGAGTGAGGAAACAATGATAATGACCCCACTAGTGCAATCTGCATCTTCCTGGTGCAGGCAGGTGCTGCCCCAGGCTGAGAACATTCTGTGTTCAAATGACTGCCAGTCCCCAGCTCAAAGTCAGACTGATAGAATCCAAACTCCTGAAATTGGCACTTGCCATCTATGGAGCCTTAAGGAGCTTTCATTATCTCTGAGCCTTCATTTCCATAGCAATACAGGAACTCTGGCTTTATCAATGAAAGTCATAAGGTTGAAAAAGAAAATATTCTATGCATGGCCTTTAGGATTTCTATTAATCCTTCCATAGCTTCCGGGGTAAACACCAGCATCATTCACCTCTACATGGCAGTCAGTGACATGAGCCTGAAGGACCCCACCAATTCACCCAGTTTCATGTTTGAGCAGTTATGGCATTTGAGTCCCGGTTTGAGGATTGTAATGTCAATTACTCCACCACCAATGTAAGTCTATAGTAACAAGGTGGTTAAGTCTTCCCACTAAATTTTACTATTCAATTTTTTTCAGCAGCTCCTCAAAAAATACTTACAATATGGGTAAAGCCATCATCCAAGTGCATGGAAAATACCCACAGGGTGCTAAACCCTTTGATAACCCTAAGGCCAAAGTACTTTTAGACAGGAAATCCAAACAACTAAGGATAATGCAGGTGGTGATCCTGAAAACATGGGCTTGTGACTGGTCACAATGCTGTACAGTCAAGGTGGCATGCACATGGAACAAACCACCACAGGATCTCACCATTCTGAAACATGTTTCAGCAGGTGGGGAAAAGGGACAGAATCATGGCAACCTCTCAGGCCCTCTTAGACCTCCTTAAACAACCTTGCCTTTGTCTAAACAATTCTCTCTGCTTAGATGTCTGGCCCTCCACTTTAATGCCCAAAGCAACTTCCTAGAGGAGCATTGCTCAACTTGCATAGTTCTCCTTAGCTGTCACCTCCAGGGCTTCCCAGCCTTCTAACTGTAAAAAACAAAGGCTCTGATGGTCTGTATGCTAAATGTCAGTTTCTGCTCCTCAATGCTGTGTGACATTGGGTAGTGTCAAAGTCCTGAACTATTCTGATGTTAAACAGTGGTAGTAACTGAACCTGAAATCAGATTAAGTAAGGTGGTTATGATGCCTCCCCTCAGCTTACATCAGAGACAATGAAGGACTGCTATTATGGGCCTCGTGCTATTACCTACTTCATTTGGCCTCCCAACATCACGGAAAACCTCAATTTAGCAACATTTTAAAACTGTGCCAGATAGCCTACACACACACACACACACACACACACACACACACACAAAGGCAGGCCAAGGACAAGCAGAGAAGGACCTACTTCAGCCTACACTGCCAGTAAAGACCTCTCCAAAGAAGTAAAATTTGAGCAGAGCCAAAAAGATGCAAAGAATGGCCTTACAGAAATCCGAGAACAACGTCTGAGGCCCAGTGAACTGAAAGAGCAATGGCTGGGAGACTAAAGAAAACTTTCTATGGTCAGGTTGGTGTATCTGAAGAGCAGTGAGCCAGGAASGATAGGAAGGAGACAAGATCAGAAGTAGTCAAGCAGGGCAGATGAGGAAGCGACCTGCAGACCGTGGCTGAGAGGTTGTATTATGCTGTGACAGGAGGCCATGGTGTAGAACCTCAACCAATTAATGAGCAACTGTCAGAGATGTGATACGAGTGTAAGAGGAAAGTGTAAGAGCTAACTCGCAGAGTATATCCTACCATATTGGGGAAGAGTGCATACATGGCTTTCCCTGGTAGGTCCTATTAAAGCAGGAACAAACCTGGGAAAGAGGTACTAGTCAAGTCCTGGACCTAGTGGACCAGGTAACAGAGAAGTTACCTTTCACCTTCCTCGACTATCACTAGAGATGGCATCCTGGCTTCACGCAAGCATGACAGCGCAGGCTGCCTGCAGGTGCGGCTGAAGCGGGGCTTGCTTCCCGGCCGGCTGCTGCAGACTGCACAGAGTGCCGTTTGTAAGTATGAGCCGGCTTTTCGTAAACACAAGTGCAAAGGGAACCCCGGGGCCGTTTCGGCTGCCAGCCTCTCCCCACCAGCACAGAAGTCGCCAAGCCGAAACCCCAGCCACTCACCTGCGCCAGGTCCACCAGCGCCGCGGCCATCCTGGGCCGGGATGCCTCAGGGGTGACCCTGGGCGCCGGCCGCGCTCCACCAGCCCCGGAGGCCCACGGCGGGGTCCCAGGCACCGAGGCCAGTCTCCGCTGCCCTCCTCCTTCTTTCCGAGCAGCCACGGGAAGCTGGCAGCCGAACACCGCTGGGCGACCCACAGCCGGCGTGGACGGCGCCGTCGCGTCCAGTGACGTCATCGCCGAAGGTCGGGCAGTTCCGCCCGGGTCACGAGGCCCACCGGAAGTGCCTCCGTCCTGGGCCACCAGGGGCCAACGCCGCCGCGGACGAGCGCGGTGCCTTCTGGGTGACGGWGAAGCCACGGGGTCCGGGTCCTGGCGCCAGCTCTTCACCCAGGTGCCAGCTCTGCCGGACCGGGCGGCAGGTGGGCCTCTCCTTTCTTCTCCGGGGAGGGGTGGCTCCGGCAGCCGCACTGTTTGCTCAGGGCCAGCGCGCAGACGCGGAGGGGCCCGAGCCTCACCTCACGTGGCGGGCTGCTCACCTGGCAAGGAGAAGGAAGCCCAGAGCGCAGTCGGCCCGCAGGTAGCCGAAGCCCTGGCCCCCTCAAGCCCGCTCTCCCCACCTGCGCGGGCTGTGGGAACGCTGCAAACGTCCGGTCGTCTGGAGGCGGGGGCGGGGGCCAGAGATCATCCGTGTAGATAATTAGGTTCGATCTGGAAGATGAAGGCGGGCTGGGAAGCAAAGGAAATCCAACGATTCCCCCCTCCGCCCACCTGTTGCTAAGGTAACTGCCCCAGGTATTCTTCCTCCCTGCGGGGAGATGTTAATTAACACCTCCAGGGCTGGTCCTTTCCACCGGCCATCTTCACGTTTTGGCCCACCCTTTTGGTCACATAAACAGGATTAAACAAAAGCAAGATGAGGAGAAAAACAAAATCTAAAATGTATAAAAGGGGCAGGACAGGACCCCTTCTCAGTCTTTGTTCTATCCTTAAATAAATGACTTGCTTTCTATGCTTGCCTCAGCATTTCTACACGTTTGGGGAAACAAAACTCGGCCCTGGCAGTCTGTTCAAATCTGCTATTTCATTTATCCCCGGTCAACTATCACAAGAGAGGATGAAAGGGAAAATTTGGAAATAAATGATTCATGAGTTAAATTGTGCGGGTTGATCACTTCTCACTTCTATCCGGTTCCTGCCCAAGACGGGGGAACCCTTTCCCAGGCACATGCTCACAGTGTGGACCACTTGTTAGTAGCTGCCTTGGTTGTCAGACTGGTTGCCAGATATCGTAGTTTTTTGTGTCCAAGTAGCAATTATTTTACTTAATAGCCAAAAAGTGCAGCAAGGATCATGCAGGCCATCCAGAGACAGAAGCCTTGAAGTGTCAAGGTGTCATTTACTTTATAGATGCGTGTATCTGTAAGGCTCAGTAAAAGTATGGTTTCAGTCAACCATAAGGGTTTTGGAATGTGTCCCCCTCAAATGAGGCCTGGCGTGTGGGCCCAGTAGAGGGTTTTGCCATGGGGGGGGGGGGAATCGAAAAGCTCAGGACTCCAACTACTGTCTGTTTGACATGTCCCCAGGACCACAATGTGTCTGGGTCACAGACAATTCAATGGTAGAGGAGAGGGATCCTGCTGGGACATGTGAAGCTGCTATTTCAAATCATGACACCAGGTAAGACCATCATGACACCAGGTAAGACCACGAGGAAATAAAATGAGCAGGGCTGGAGATGGAGTTCAGGTGTAGGGCACTTGTATACGCAAGGATATGGGTTCAATCCCCAGCACCACCATAAAAATATAGATGGAGAAAAAACAACGGGAAGAGTGAGCCCGGAACCACCACACATCAACTGGCTGCAGACAGTAAACCAACAACATTGTGTTGGAAATTGTGAATGCATTATGCAGAGTCAGAGTTACAGAGCTGGGCCTTCCAGGAAACTGGGCTGCATGAAGACCTGCTCCTTCACACCCCAGTCCTTGTAAGGAGTCGGGAAGATTTCAGGCATGTTGCTCAGAGTAACAGGCGAAGGATATGGAAAATATTAACCCCCAGGAGAAAGGGAGCCTGGTGGGCTCTGAACCTGTGGCAGTTTTTCTTATCACCTGTGACCACAGCCCTGACTGCCCAAGGTCTCCCTCAGCTGTAACCAACACGTTTCCTGCCAGGACCCAGTCCCCGTCAGCCCTATAAAACTTAGACCCTACTGCAGCCAGTTGCCATTTTCCCTCTGAAAACCTGCCCCTGGCTGTTTAATAAAGCATGGCTGACCCACTGAGGTCCACCTGCGTTTCTCATTTGTCTTCTCTTTCATCTGCTTCCAACAGGCAATGAGTTTGTTGAAGGAAAAGGGACACACTCAAGGGAGAGGGTGGGTCTTCTCAGAGAGGAGAGGGACAGTGTGCCTCCTCCTGCCCTCTGGATTTATAGGGGAAATTTCCAGAGTCCACTCAACTCTTCCTCTTGAGTGTCAGCTGACAGCAGGATGATGTCTCTCTCAGGTCTGCACTGCAGGGCGACTCAGGGCACGTGGGCCCATGGTCACTGGTTCTAACTGAATTCTTAATGATGTATTCTTAGATTTCATGGTCATCTTTTTTCCTTATCTGTGACTTTCAGGATCTGGTCCATGAAAAGGGTTAGTCTCTCCTGTCAGAGAAACTTGGTTTCCTCTTAGGAACTTTATTTTGGACTTGCATTTCTCCTGCAAATAACAGGTAGTGTGCTGAGGACTGTGACACATTCTGCCCTCTTCAGCCAGTCAGGGCTGCAGGTAAATGTTTTTTGGAAATAAAACGTGGGGGTCAGCACAGTGGGCCCCTTTCATAGGTTTTCTTAACTTTATGTTTTAGTTGTAGTTGGACACAATACCTTTGTTTTGTTTTATGTGGTGGGATGGAAACCAGGGCCCCAAACATGCTAGGGGAGTGCTCTACCACTGAGCCACTACCCCAGCCCCCCTTTCATAGGGTCATTCCCTCAACCTCACAGGTTCCCACACTCCTGTCCTCCCCTGACAAGAGTAGCCTGCAACAGTGGCCTTTTTCTTCTCCTTATCATGAACCTGAGAGTAAACTGCCTTGGGGCTTCTCCCTTGAGGTGCAGGTGACAGAAGGGAAGTCCTGGCTCACACTAGGCATCAGCCAACTTTTCCCGCTCTGAGGGCCGACTCATTCTACCTCCATATTTGAGACATGAAAAGAATTGCCATTTACTCTTTCCAGCCAATCACTGGCCAGAGGACCCTACCTCTGAGAGGGACATTGGAAACCCCAGGGTGGGGTGGAGACGATCAGTCCTGTCACCTGCACCTTACATTTGGTGGAAGTTGACTGGGGAAATGGACAGACCGTCCAGTCAGACCTGGGAATCACTGCTTGAACAGCGACTTGGACTCTTAGTTCTCAAGTAGACTTATGTGTTTTCTATGAATTACCAGAAATAGTCACACTAGTACAGGACGGGCCATTCTCCCTTCAAATTGCTGAGGGGAGGAGAAAGAATAGACAAGGAGGTTTCCAGTGAGACATGATGTGGCTGGAGTTGTGCTTCCCAAGTAAGAGGATGCCAAGAGCAGCTTTGGAGAGCTGTGGCTCTAGGCCAAACTGGCCCACACTGGCTTTGTAAATAAAGTTCCATTGGCACAGAATCCCATCCATCTGTTGACCCATGGTGACCACTTCCCTGCCCTGAGCGCAGGGCTGAGCAGCGTGGCGGGGTCTACGTGGCCTTCGGTGCCTAAAAGTGACTATCTGGCCCTTTGGGGAAAAAAAATCTGCCAAATCCCAAGATAGGATATAACAAGAATACTGACCCTGTGGCTGCCRCTCAGCGGTGGAGCGCTTGCCTGGCACACGTGGGGCACTGGGTTCCATCCTCAGCACCACACAAAAATAAAGATTGTGCCCATCTACAACCAAAACAATATTTAAAAACACACATACACCAATCCTGTAGTCACCAGGCAGCGACTATATCAGGCCAAGGACAGGAATGGACAGTCCTGAGCACACTCCCAGGCCGCCCTTTTCCCAGCTGATCCGCCAGCCACGCCCCTGTGACCCCCCCACCACGTGGACAAAGGCAGCTCCAAGCTCAGGACCTTCCCTTTATTACCCCCGAGGTGCCCGTGATCAGAACTCACTGTGAAGAGAGAAATCGATGCTCAAGCCGACGTTGGACCCCCAGCCCAGGGACCACCACCACGAGAGCGAGACCAGACCCCCCTGGGACACACAGCCAGGAGGGAGAGAGACTCAGGGTGTGGAGAAAAAGAACTGGCAGCAGGAGGGAGCCCTCGTCCCCACGGCACTGTCCAGGGCCAGGCCAGGGTTGCTCTCCTTCACCTCCCTCAGCACCTCCTGGACCTTCGCGTTCCACGCATCCATCTTCAACCTGGGGGACCAGAGGACATCAGCGTTTACAGAAAAGCTAGTTCTGTTGTCCCAGAATTCACCACAAACGGCCCAAGGGCCCAGGAAGGTTTCAGGACACTTGCGGCGGGAGACACTTTTGGATCCACAAAATGGCAATCCTGAGAAACGTCAGAGTGCAGACACACGTCCTGCAGAGACCTCAAGAACCCAGCAACGGGCTCCCCTGATTTGATCAGTACACACTACACACATCCAATTACACTGTGCCTCATATATATGCATTAAAATGCTCAATATTTGAGTGAATGAATAAACTATTTTCTAAAGCAAAGAAGATATTAGTTAGTCAAATATTCGGTAGAGCTGGGCACACTTATTATCCCAGCAGTGGAGGCTGAAGCAGGATGATCACAAGTTCAAACCAGTCTCAGCAAGGCCCTAACAACTTAGGTGCCAAATAAAAAGGGCTAGGGATATGGCTCAGGGATAAGTTCCCCAACCCTGCACCATTCAGTGCTTGCCTGGCACACATGGGGCACTGGGTTGGAACCTTCTAGTGGAAAAAAGCACCATTCAGTAGAACAATCCCAAAGCAAACCCCAGGGTGAAACATCAACTTGGATCCACGTGGCCGCCATGTCCAGCCCCGCTCATTCGAGATGGGATGGCGGAGGGTGTCGCTGAGAGATAACAGGGGACAGAAATAGGTCCAGACCACAACATGAGGCGGGAGGCCACAGGGCTCGAGGTCCCACCATACTTCTTGGTGGCATTATGGCTCCACTGCTCCAGCCCCCGACACACCCCTGCACTGCAGACCAGGTTGAGTGGTCGCCATGTCGACAACTAACAGCCCCTGAATGAGGCCAGCGGGGACATTCCCGTGGAAGCAGGAGTTGCATTCCTGGAGCGAGTGACAGTGGGCTGGCCACCGGGGATGTCACAGGTTCCACAACTTTTACCAGGGGTGAGAAWTAGGAACACCGCTTACTGGTCCCTACCCCAATCCTCCCCAAAGAGAGATGGCAGTGGAGATGGGACGGTGCACAGAGGACCACAGCAGGGTTGGCCAGCTCCCGTCCTGCCTGTATCTTAAATAAAGCCCTCCTCCTCTGCCTTGCTCCACCTGGCAGGTGGGGACGGCTCGCTCTCCTCTCCCTGGGCCTCTGGTGACAGTGTGCACACCTGTGGTCTGCTCTGCTGAAGGGAGGAGCCGTCTACAAGGGCTTTGGGGAAAGGCCAGAGGAAGCCCAAGACAGATCAAGGGACTGGAGGGCTGCAGATGTTCCCACGTCAGGGAAACCCCTGGAGAACCAGCTTCCGCTCAGCGGGGACCAAGTCAACCCTGGGACCCGGGAGACGGCAAACCAGAAACCACACATCCTGGCTGGGGTGTACGGTGCGCCCACGCCAGTCCTGCACACCCACAGGCGAGCTCCAGCCTGTGCCCCAGGGGGTCTGGGCATCCGCGTGCCCAGTACCGAGTGTGCTGGACAACACTGGACAACACTCGACTCCAAGAGAAGTGCTTAGGAGAAGCGGGCCGTGGACGGACTCCCCTAGGCGAGGGCTGCTGGGAAAGGGGTGTGTCACTCCGCCTCCCCTTCCTGGGAAGCACTGATCCCTTCGAGGGAAGCCCAAGAGTGGAGCAGGAAGACCATACCTGAGYGTCCTCAGGGGCCCGCTGCTGTCCCTCAGGGCCTCCAGGAGCACGGTCACTCCGCTCAGTCCCAAGGCGTTCTGGCCCAGGTCCAGAGTCTCCAGCGTCTGGTTGCTCATGAGGGCAGATGCCAGCTTCTGACAGTGCAGAGGGGTGAGGGAGCATCCCCAGAGCCTGTGGAGGGCAGAGAGCTGCTCACATACTGGAACGCAGTGTGCCGCCTGGTGCACACGCTGTCCTGGGATCCAGCCGGGAGCAAATGGGGCAGGTAATCAGCTCCGTGGTGGTGGTGGGGGGTGTCGTGGACGATCTTGGAACAAAACAGGTGAGTGGGCCAGAGAGGGTTTTACTTATAGTGGGCAGGAAGTTCTCCATGAGAATGGACCTTCAAGGCAGGAAGACCCTGTAGTATATGGCAACTGGGGGAGGAGCCGCGAGCAGGGGAGGAGGAATGCAGGAGATCTGGGCTCCACAGCTGGGGTGCAGCTCAGTGGCAGAGCCCTTGTCTAGCTGTGCCAGGCCCAGGGTTCCATGCCCCCACAAACAGCACGCCTAGAGTCAGCTCCTAAGGAGCATCCACTTGTAATGAGATTTGAGGCTTTGGAAATAAAGATGCTGTGGTGTAACTTGCAACTGGAAAGGTCCCTTGGGGTGATCGGTTAAGAGTTGCTAGGAAATGAGAAACGTGCAGATCACGTCCGAGATAGAAACACAATCCCTGGGAGAGCTGCAGGTTCAGAGGAGAGTTTGCCACAGAGGGACAGGTGGTCAGATCCCAGGCAGCTGGACCAGCTGAGAAATGAGCAGTAATCTGAGCCGGGGATGGTCGGGTTGCTTTTATAAACCTTATTGCTCAGAGCCGAATCGGTCATTAGAATGTATGACATTATTGTCACTTCACATTCCCCTCTTTCCACAGAGCCTCTTGGAGACCACGCTTCCTTTGTCTGTGGAAGGTGGGGAGGTTCCGTGAGGGAAAAGGCACGTCATGCGACTCTGCATGTGGCTCCACTGGATCCTGACCACCAGAATGCCAAGATTTCCCCAGGATCAGCCAGGACCACAAAACAGAAGCACCAGTATTCTGTGTCTGCTCTGGTCTCTGCAGCACAGTGAGGAGGTCCTTACACAGCCCAGACCACCTTTCCAGCTTGCAGGTCCTCTGTCCAGTTGCAAAGAGGGCTGCATCAATGTGAGGGCCGGGCTGAGAAGGGAGGCAGAGCTCACCAACCTATTTATGGGGCTGATGGGTTTCCTAAGGGGTAGGAGCCCATCTTCAGCCCCTGGGCATTGAACTGGGACCGGCTTTGCTTCCTGATCCTGGATCCCAGCAGAAGCAGCACATTTCTGAAACCTACCTCTGATAAATGTGAGCACCCACACACCTATATTTCCCCTGGAGGGGTCCAATCCTAAAAACTCAGGTGATACACATTGCCACAATCCAAGGTATTTTGGAATATAGAAACTAAAGCTTTCCAAACACTTTAGAAGAGCACAAACACCTACCCTAGGTACTTTAGGTGGAAATTTGGATTCCTCAAGGCGTCACAGAGAAACCACAGCCCAGCAGCTATGGGATTCAGGCCCAGGTCCAAGTGTGTGAGGCTGCAGTTCTCCCGGAGCAGCGTCGAGAGTTGTCTGCATCCACGTTTCCCCACTTTGCAGTCCCGCAACCTGCAGAGCAATCGGATGAAGAGACAGGATCCCCTCCAAGGCCCCCGTCCTGCGCAGCCCCCAGCACCTCAGCCTCATGGGAGAGCGCTGCTTCCAGGTGGATGTGCACACAGCACTGCAGACACGGGACACTTCTGCCCAGCCCAAGTGGCAGGGGACAGGACTGGCCTTAGTCTGGCACCTCTCCTAGAGGGAGACACACACCTCCTAAGAGACAGGTTTCCTCAGGCACAGCCCGTCTTGCAGGTCAGGAGCCTGGGCCCGGCTTCCTCCAGACCTGTCAGGAGCTGAGGCCTCATTCACTTCCTGCATCACTAGGTCACTGAGGTCCATCTGCTATCCTTCTGTTTATTCCCAATCTCAGACTTTGTGGGCCCAGCAGAATTGAGGGGCACCTGGAAAGCCGGTCGTTTCTCACAACTCAGGGAACACACTTCATATTTGAATCTTGCAGACCCTCTGGTAAGACTGGACTTCCTCAGTGCTCCTTCAGGGATGCTCACTAGAGCAGGACAGTGACATCAGACATCCAGGCAACTGGACCTCACAGCCTGTACCCAAGCACTGAGGATTGCAGTGTTCAGATTTGAGTGGCAGATACAGAGTCATCGGCAGCATGTGACACCTCAAGTCATGTGGGATGCTGCCAGACAGACGATCCTACCTTAGGGCCAACTGGTGCATCTCAGCCCTCCCACCCTGTGCCCAAGCCCAGCATCGCAGGAGGCCACAGAACTCAAGGAGCACTAGAAGATCAGGCACAGAGTCACTGAACAAGAGCTACCAGTTCGTACTGTGCAAGTCCCAAAGCTGTGTATGAACCTAGAGTGTTTGGGGAGCAAATACTAAACCAAAGACCAAATGAAGTTACAACAGGCTACAGAAATACAAGTGCGGTCAGACGATGACTTTACACATTTAGAGTAATGACTGACAACTCTGTCTATAGAGTGGGCTTCATGCCTACTTCACACATGTAGCCATGGGCAAGCTTCGTGGACAAGCTTTAGATTTCTATAGTCAGAAAGATCAAGGTATCACTCTCATAAGATTGTGAGGATTTTGAAAAATAATACTTGAAAAATTTAGCATAGACCCCATATGCAAGTTGCACTGTTTAGATGCCCAAGTCAGCTCCAAGAGAGGGCCATCTGCCTGGTGGTGACCTGCATGACATCAAGCCCACACTCTGCTGAGGAATATCTTTGGGTACAAACACGATCATCCCCCTCGCATCTGCCCCTTGAGTCTAAACACTTCAATCTCAGTGTTTGGCACATACCTGGACCTACGGTGATCCTGGGGTAGGCCACTGGGAGTTTCTCGGACTCCCTCGAAGCCACAGTGCAAGCCTGTAGGCAATAGGTCTATGGGGCAGCAGGAGCCCCAGAGAAACCAGAAGAGGACAGAAATTCTGAACAGAAAGAGGTCTCCAGCCCCGTGCAATCTCAGGAGTGCTGTCACAGTTGTGCTTATGGACATGTGGCTTGTGCTGGGCCTGCCTCCACATGGCAAGGGCCAGAGAGCCACAGTCCACCGGTGAGACCCAGTCCTGCTGCCTAGCATCACTGGAACAGTCTGCCTAGTCCTCACAGGCCCACAACAGAGACCTCACGGCCCACCAAACCAGGAACAGTCACCCCTCTGGCCCTCTACACAAAACATTTCCCTGGTGCCACTGTAAACTCCATCTCATCAGCACTGCAGGGCGAGGGCATGCTATGAACGTCGACACACACAAGGCATGAGGCAGAACCACCTGCCTATCCAAGTCCACGCAGAAGAGTCTTTGGAAAAACAGGTAAATGCTAGCACCCTTCCCGTGACCACCCGCCCTTTCCACAGTTCCCACCAGGCTCTCAGTCCCATCTGAATGGGTTGTCAGTGTGGCTGGCAGCCCCACACCGACCCACATGGCTCACGCTCGCGGCAGCCCCAGGACTTACACCAGCGCCTGCAGCTGGCAGTAGGGGTAGCGCAAGCCCTCACACAGGGTCTCCACCCCATTGTCCCCGAGGTCGTTCTCAGCCAGGCACAGGTGTGTCAGTCTCTGGCTGACGACCAGAGTGACAGACACTTCCTTGCAACAGGCTTCCGTGAGTTGACAGTTCTCCAACCTGCAGGAGTCACAGGAAAGGCCAGTGAGCAGAGCACCCACACCCAGTCTTCCCAGCCGTCTCCAAACAGGGGGTCCCTAAAGCCCGTCTCAGTTCCTCGTCCTCTTCCCACCCTGCTGGTGACCCCGTGGGGATGGAAAGGACAGGGGTGAGATGCTGGAACTGTTGGCCTGGACCAGAGACGGGAGCAGGCGTAGGGTCACTGGGTGGGTCCACAGGGCTGCCTGCAGGCCCAGGGCCACCGTTCTTCCCCTGCGTCCCCAGACCCCACAGGACACCCAGGAGGTGGGGAGACTTACGACAGCCTCTGCACGGGGCACGTGGGGTACCTCAGCCCTGCGCACAGCAGCTTGGCCCCCTCGTCCAGGAGCTCGCTGTCGGAGAGGTCCAGGCATGTCAGGGAATAGGGGGCTTGGAGGGTCAGGAAGAGGTATGACCAATGCTGGGTGGGGGCAGAACAGAGCCCCAGCCTATGGGGGAGACGGAGCCCGTCATTTCCTGGGAGGACAGAGACCAGGTCAGCTCACCGTGCTGCACTACCTCGTGTGCCCTGAGTAATGTGGCTCCTCCACCATCAGCCCTGCCTGTTCAAGTATCCCACGGCCATTTGATCAACATCCTGCCTGGTCTCCAAGAGAGAAAATAAAACTGCTAATACAACTCTATGATATTCACCAACACAGCTGGCTTAAAGCTTATGCTCAATACTCCAGACTGCGAGGAGCCGCTCTGGCCAGGAGCTACGTGCACACCTGGAAGTCCTGAGTAAAGAGGTGCTGAACTGGTATTGCACCCGCTGCAATGCAACTGGACCTCACCTCAGCTCAGATAAGAGGCACAGCTCCCCGAGTGAGCGTCACCCTATGGGGTTGGATTACACCCACTTGTCTGTTGTAACCCTCTCCCTTGCCTCATTTGAATGACTTCTCCCCAGTAAAACCCAGTGTGCGCCCTCTTTCTTGCCGGTCTTGCCCCACACCTTGTGGGAGCTGTGGCTGAGGAGCAATCACTGAACCCAAGAAAAGGTACTTTCTGTGTCTTTAATCAGCCCAAAGTCACTTGGAGTGACCCTGATTTAGTCGCATGTCCACACAGAAGACTTTTTGTTTCAAAAGTTCTTAGGACATGAGAAGGTGGAAGTGACAAGGTGCAACCTGGTACCCAAGCAGCCAGGTCCACGGTGTGTTGGGCTTCAGTGTGGCAAGGATAGAGAACTTGGGGCTCTGGCCAATGGGTGTGGGTGGCCCGGACGCAGGTGTCAGGAGGCTGCACTGGACTCCAAGCCCAGCTCTTCCCTTCCCCCATGCTGCAGTTCAAACCCACCCTGCGGGGGGGGGGGGGGSGGSCCCAGCTCCACTGGCTACTCCAGGCAGATCAGACTGGACTGACCACTCCACAGCTCTGCCCAAGCTCACGCTCTGCCCTGGGCTTAGCCTTTGGGGTGTCCTTCTGCTCCCACTTTGGGTGGTCTGCACCTTCATGCCAGCCAAGTCAAGGCCACAGGAAGGGCACGTTTAGCACAGTGTCCCACGTAAGACTGYTCGCAGGTCGCGCCTTCCCCTGGACTCGACCCTACCACCCAGACTGTGGATCCACTCCAGGGCCCAGGGCAAGTGGGACTGTAAGGGCCTCAAGTCACAGGAGACCCGCAGCCTGCCCTCACTCAGTGTCACTAAGGAGGTCACCTTATCAATATCTAAAAGCTACAGGGGAACAAACAGAAAACAGCCTGCTTCGAAATCAATACCAAGAGCTACCCTCTGACCCAGGGAAAGCAAGTCCCCCTCGTGGATGACAAGAGCTCACGCACACTTAGGACATGTCATTTCTAAGTCTGAAACCTGTGCCACCAGCCAGTGTCCTCAAAGGGAAAGGAGGCCCCTGGTGACCACTTGTGGAGACAACTCGAGGAGCACCTATTCTGAGAGCCGGGTGACAGCAGCTTCTCCAGCCAGGGAGCCACCAAGGAGCCAGAACACGTGACTGGGCATAGTCACTGTGGGGCCCATGAAGGCCCAAGGCTGTCCTAGATCACCACAGGCAGCCTGCAATGTCACCCCCCATGCCCCACAGTCGGGGGCACAGCCTCCTGGGCATTGCTCTGCCCCCGGGGATCACATCCAGAGCCACCCGCCCAACTCCATGTCCCATTGGGTACTCAGTCACAGCCACTCCCTTCTCCTGGTCCAGCACACACCACCCTGTGGCCCACGATGAGGACCTCAGGGGAGGGGGCAGCAGTGGCCACAGGGCCCACCTCAGGCACTGCAGGCGGCACCGATTATGTTTGAGGGTCTCTCCCAGCAGCTGCATCATCTTTGCCTCCGGGACGCTGCCTCCCAACGTCAGGTGAGTCAGGGTCCTCTTGCCCAGGAGCGCCAGACACAAGTCCTGGTAAGCAGTCACAGGGAAGACGTTCCTAGCCCTGGGGAGACAGGACGGAGGTCACGGGGGACACAGTCCTGTCCCTGGAGAAGGCAGCCCTAGGCCTGGTGCCAGGATGTGTCTGCTGCTCCTTTCTCCAGACTTGCTGGCCCTTGCCAAGGGACATGATGAGCCCCATTTCATTTCCAACAAGCGTTTGCTGGGGAGAAAGGATGACAGGGTGACATCCCCGGGAACAGCCACCTTGCAAGAACCCAGATGGACGGACATGTCCCCGAATGTGAGCGGGCCCGTGACCTCCTTCAGCTGAACAGAACAGGGCAGGGGAGGTGGGGCAGTCACAGGTGGTGACATCACCGACTCCCGAGATGGTAGCACCATCTTTCCGAGTCAGTCTCCCCCTGACTGAAAAGCAGCAAGAAGCCACGTGGTAACCCCCTGATGGAGGGCAGCTGGGCCCCCACCAAGGATGGTCTGCAGCATGAAGCAGGTGTGGGAGCAACCCTGCCCACTCTGCTGTTAGCATGGCCCACCGCTCACTGCCCTGGGCTGTGGCCAGGCCTCAGTTAGGCCAGTCCAAATTCCCTGTCCATGGGAAGGGAGGTGACCCATGCCGAGAGCCTGTGTCCAGGAGGATCTTCTCGATGGCTTCAGGGCTGTTTCTGGCAATTTCCTATCAGCTGTAACACTGTGGAGGTGTCAGAGGGACTGGAGGGAATCTCACCTGGTACAGAGTAGCAGGGTTTTTCTAGTCAAACTGGCTTATTTGGCTTAGCCTAATGTACCCACCATCCTTCTACCTCCGAGTTTGACATGTTAAGAGAGGAGAATGATGGTTGCTAAGGCTGGAGGGAGAGAGATTGGAGCATAAAAAATTTCAGACAGGAAGACGTTCAGTGGCCACCTGCACCCCATGGTGACCAGTGACGTATCTGCTGGGTTTACACTACTCCCCACAGGGGATGTTGGCAGACATCCAAGCTCTTGACCCAGTTTTCCCGAACCTTGAGGCCAGGAACCATTTCCTTTCTTCATATTCTGAGCACCTGGTCAGAGTCCAGTCAGGTATTCCAATACGGCTCCTGCCATCAACATGCGAAGCCCAGCCCTGCCCCAGGCTCTCCGTGGAGGCCTCTACTTACGTCACGGTCTGCAGACGGCAGGAAATGTGGGTCATACAGTCACAGAGAAGCCTCACGGCTGGCTCACTCAGGAAGCTCCCGCTGATGTCCAGGGCACGCAGGTTCTTGTTAGAGACCACAGAGCAGAGGTCCATCCAGAGGCAGAGTGTCTCACTGTCTGGCCGAGACCTGCAAAGAAGGGATGGAAAGGAGCAGACGGGAGAGTGCAGTGGGGTGCAGCAGGTCTCTAGGACGACTGCTCCCTTCCAGGCCCGACTAGCCCGTGCCAGTGACCACAGAGCTCCTCAGAGGCTGGTCACAGGGACTCTCGCCCAGTGAGAGCACTCCACTTTCTGTGGCCTGAGGAAGTCTAAGGCGTGTTGATGTGAGGGTCTGTCCCGAGGGGAAGGCTTCAGCCATGTTATTTTACATAATTCTGACCAGAACGTGAAACTGCAGCACTCAGAGGCATAGAACAACGCCCAGCTGGGTGCCCTGGCACATGCCTGGGTCCCAGCGACTTAAGACAGGAGGCAGGGACAGGAGAATCGCTCGAGGCCAGGAGATAGTGGCCAACCTGGGCAACACAGCCAGACTCCATCTCAAAAGTGAAAAGTCTTGGGCCAGGGCTGTGGCTCAGTGGCAGAGCACTTGCCTGCCATGTGTGAGCACTGGGTTCATTCCCCAGCACAAAATAACAAAATACAAATAAATAAAGGTATTGTGTCCATCTACCACTAAAAAAAAAAAAAGAATTTTTTAAAAAGGCTAATCATGCCTGTCGTTAAAAATCTGCATCCAGTGTGTAAGAATTTACTAAAAGGATAGATCTCTTAAGTTTTATAATAAGATGGCAGAGGAATCTATGGGAGGTGGCAGATAGGCTTATGGCATCGACTGGGAATACTGACGTGTGGCTCCTCCTGTTGACGGGGCCCAGCGTTTTGCACGTAAGCATCCCTCAGTAACTGGGAATGAGCTTTGGGCCCAGTGTACCGAGTGTGGACTGTAAGGATCCATGTTTCCAAGAGTGGACAGTAAATGTTTTACACCAAGATCAAGTTCATTAACATATCTGTCACCTCCATGTAATCAAAACATAATCCTGAGTCCCACACATATGTACCTATAGTTATTACTTGCCAATTAAAAATGAGTCTTTAAGCTAGGCGCAGTGGCATATGCCTATAATCCCAGCAGCTTGAGAGGCCAAGATAGGTGGATCACGAATTCAAAGCTAGCCTCAGCAAAAAGGGAGGCACTAAACTCCATGAGACCCTGTCTCTAAATAAAATACAAAAAATAGGACTGGAGATGTGGCTCAGTGCCCCCATGTTCAATTCCTGCCCGACCCTCTCAAAAAAAAAAAAAAACACTAAAATTTTTTAATCTAAAACAAATAAAAATCTAAACAAATAAAAAACATGGCAAAAATGTCAGGTATTAATGGAGAGAATATGTAAAAGAGTATAAGATCCAAGAGGATCCAGGGCTCCGCCCACTCGAGAACACAGGCACCAAGCAAGGTCAACTCCAAGCCCCCCTACCAAGCTGCAACATCCCGTCCCATGTGGAGAGCTAAACAGGAAGAGAATCCAGTGAGAAGGATGTTGAGAGCTGAAGCCAAGACCACAGGGGACTCCAGCTTCATCCTCAGGGGACGTGATGAGGTGGAGGAGCTGGTACAGGGAACAGCTCTCACCTCACACCCCGCAGGCAGGGCTCCAGCACGGCCATCTTCTCCTCCAGGAGCACCCCCTTGGCCACCCGCAGCGAGAGCCTCTGCAGGTCCTGGCAGTGCCGGAGGCAGAAGGAGCAGCTCAGGAGGTCCTGGCTGGTGGTCAGGTGCAGGGATGCGTCCTTCAGAGCGGCCGTGGCTTTGCTCACCAGCTCTGGGTCCTGAGACTCGTAGAGGCAGTGGAAGACCTCCAGAAGGCCCACTGCCCACAGCACGGGCTCCTCCTCCTCCGACGTGCGCTGCAGCAGCTCCTGCACGGCCTCCAAGGACACTTGGCAGCTGAAAGTGGCCTCCAGCTCCCTCGCCCTGGCCCCGTTCAGGAGGCCCCACAGGAAGCGGCTGGCCTGGGCCAGCTGGGGATTCCTTGCTCTGGCCTCCGTGGAGAACAGCTCTCGCACACCCCTGATGTCCAACATGGAGCCCTGCCACTTGCTGTCCCCGGGGAACCGCAGGATGTAGAAGGCGGCCGCCAGGAACTGCTGCATGCTGAGGTGGATGAAGGAGAAGCAGTCCTCATGGTCTCTGTCCCTCTGGAGGACATGCTTGTCCAGGAAGGGACGGAGGTCAGCCTCTTCCACCTCAAGTGGCTCCAGGTCTTCTGTGTCGAACAGGGACAACTGGGTCCACAGGCCCTGAGCAGCCAGGAGACACAGGGCCTTCAGAGGGCGTTGCAGGTGGTGCTGGGGATGGCCGCTGGGCGCTGGCGTGAACTGGTCACAGAGGAACCTCAGGAACARTGATGTGGTGGTCTGGCAAGCCAAGCCAGGGTCCTCTCCRCMGTCCATCAGGAGCTTTAGASTTGYGCAGAGCAGCTGGCACACGGCGGGCGCAGYGCCCAGGTGGAACAGGGCTGGGCTGTGCTTTATGGTGTCCAGAGCTCGCAGTGCCTGGTCCGTGTCCTCAAAGTGTCTCAGGAAGAACTGCTCCCTGTCGGCCTCCGAGAAGCCCTCCACCTCCACCAGCAGCGGCTGTTCCACAAGGAGCAGAAGCTCCCGCAGGGCCTCGCGCCGCGTGGTGACCAGCAGGGTGGCCTTGGCCACCATCTTCCTCTTCAGCAAGCTGCTCAGCAGGAYGGGCACYGGCTTCTTCTGGTTCCAGTCACTACAGATGTCATGGATCAGCACCCCCGCCGGCACCTTCAGCTCCTCGAAGCCATCCACCACAAACAGGACGTTCTCTGCTCGGGTCAGGACCTCCAGGGCGACGTCCTGCATCTCGGGGCAGTTCCTGCAGATCAGCTCTGGGAAGGTGCATGGGATCATGCGGTTGAGCTCCCTGCAGCTGAGGTAGAAGGCGCAGTGCAGAGGACTCTGACTGAACTCCGACCAGTCCAGCAAAGTCCTCTTGGCCTGCGTRGTTTTCCCAACGCCTGCAGCACCGTGCAGCACCACTGTGCGYGGCCTGGCCTCAGGGCCCATAAGTGGACTCAAGAATGGTATCAGCCTCTGGTTTCTCTGGGTGACGTCGTRGAAAATGTCACTGTCTTCAGGCCAAAATGTGCTTGTCCAGGCTGAAGCAGGCTTATGCTCGAGAACGCTGGGCTTCCCATCCTCCTCCTCTCCTGAAAAACATAAAATGCCAGGAAGGCGATTTACCTCCTATGCCCTCAAACACCAAATTTGTGGCATGAGAGGGAGTTCACCCACCTGCCTCTTTCTGCAAGGACTCCTCCAGGTCTCGCAGCATGGCGTGCTCCATCGTGAGCCCCTGGGCATCCTCTGTAACACACAGAAGRAGCTGGACTGCGGGGCCATGGGTTCTCCTGCACCAACAGTCAAAGGAGGCAAAGAAGGCCTCCGGGACGGGGTCTGCTTTATTGTGGCAAAATGCACAAGACTGACCACTTTCAGGTTGGAGGGACAGCTCAGCAGGGGACTTGAGGTTCAGTCCCCAGCACCATGAAAGATGGAAACGTGTACAATTGGTACTTCCACAGTGTCACGAGACCATCACCACCGTCTGTTCCCAAACTYCTTCCGATCCCTCACACCCAGAACCACCCATCACCCCTCCCCAGTTCCTGGTACATACTGACCCTCATCTCGTCTCCGGGTTTATTTGGGGAGTTTCATATAAACAGGCTCCTGAGGGAATGGCCTTCTGTGACTCCCTTCCCTGAAYAGCACTGGCTGCCCTTCCAAGCTGCAGTGTCCTGCCCTCTGTGGCGGGGRATGCCCATGGCATGGACAGGGATTTCATTCGTCCACTCACCCACGGGGGACATCTGGTTGWGCCTACCTTCTGGGAATTGTGACTCATGCTGCCAACATACACTCACACATTTTCTTGTTTCAATACCCATCTTTAACCCTTTTGCACATATACCTAGGAGAATTGCCGAGTTAGACGGTAATTCTATTCTTGTAGAATCACCATACTGCYGGAAAACATGCTAATTAACCAGGAGAAAAATCAGAAGTCTAAAGCAGGCACCATGGACTGAACTCTGTGCACCAGGGGTTGACCCTGAAGCCCTAACCCCAACACACTGAAGACGAGACGCCGTGGAGGACAAATGAGGCAGACAGGACGTGTGTCCTGGCAACAAGGGGCCCAGGAGGCACACAGAGAAGRCAGCTCTCTTGCTAGAGAGAGAGGCCAGCCCGCCAGACCTTGATCTGGCGCATCCAGCCCCCAGAATGGTGAGAAAATAGCTTTTGCAGAAGGCACCGGGTCTGCCGTGTTCGGCGCTGGCAGCCCGAGCAGAGGAGACCAGCACCCTCAGTAGCCACCAGAAGCACAGGCCCGGTACTCCTGGGCTTCCAGGAGGCTGGGTTCCCGCTCTCATGAGGCCTCTTGGTTTGATGAGGAACTAAGCCCCATGACACACAGGGGACAACATCAACTGTGGACGGTGGCGGCAGAGAGCACAGGAACCTGGGCTGTCACTTATCACGCTGCCCCAGCCCCCGGTAACATGATCCAAGCCCGTTGCTCCCTTGAGTCATCTTTGTTCTCCTGCAGAGGTTTCCAGAGTCTGGGGCCCCAGGGAGCTCTGAAAGTGAGGGCAGTTGGGCTTTTTGTCACAGCACCCCTGAAACGCACACCAGGAAGACATCTTAAATCCGGCTTTGGGGGTCTGATCCCCTCCTGTTGCTGGGCAATGATACCCGAGGGTCAGTAATTGGTACAGAATGGGACCTTCTCAGTTCTGGAGGCTAGAAAGTCCAAGAGGGAGGTGCTGGGAGGTCCCCTTACCTGGCGAGGGCTTCTGATGCTTCACCATGGTGGAAATGGGAGGACCAAAGCTGCTCCCTCCAGCCTTTTATGAAGCAGCTAACCCAGGCTCCAGGAACCCCTCAATACATGTAGGAAGCCATTCTGACATGTGACTGGGTGGCTCCCGTTAAGGGTCTGAGGCATTCTGGCTGTTTCGGAACTTTCCCGGCCCTTTCCTGATGAGAGAACCCATCCGTGTGGGGGTGTGCCTGACCACTGACCCCGGGGGATCAATCACTGACCCTGACCTTGGAGTGCAGTCCCTCCTCAACCTTCATTGTATGGAATTCTCCCCTGAATCTCTTGTTCCCCAATAAAAAGCTACTCCCAGGCTGTTCACTCTCTCTCTGTCCTGCTAGCCCTGAGTAATCCTTGCTGCCCTGCTGGGCGGTTAGACGAGGGAACCAGAGAGGGGAGCTCGTCTCGGACCTGGCAATAGAAATAAGGTAACTGAGTCTGTATGTTTTATTTCGATCTCTTCTAGGTAACTTTTATGCCAAGAACCTCATTAATGAAACCATTGCGCAGGCCGCATGGTGGAATTGGCGCCCAACGTGGGGCATTCTAGATTAGTTAGATTGAATGGGAGCACGCTATAAAGATAAGGAAAAAATAAAGATAGAGGAAGAGGTGACAAATTGGGTCACAAAAGTACCTGGAGATATTGAAGGAAAGAGACGTTAAATTAATTAAAATGGGAAATTCAACTTCTATGGATAAGGAAATGTATCTGACTATTTTAGACAGTATAATTAATCAGAAAGGAAAACAGATAAAGAAAACTCAGTTATTACAATTTTTAAAGATTGTAGGTGAATATTGCCTTGGTTTTGTGAACAAGAGTCTCCAGATTTACTTACTTGGGAGAAATTAGGAAGGAAGTTACAAAAAGTTTGTCTTTCTAATGAATTACCTGGAGGCATAGAAAATATTCAGAAAACTTGGATGGCTCTAGAAGTTTGTCTTTTTGAATATATGGGCCAGAGATCATGGCCCCCTGAGGACCTCTTAAAAGGCATTCAAAGAGCTGTTAGGTCTATTCAAATGGAAAATCAGCCTGCTGCTAAGTTAATTGCCTTTCCCTTTGGCTTGGCCCCTAGTGCCTTTGTTATTAAAAACAAAGGCACTAGGGGCCAAGCCAAAGGTTAAAAATGTGAACTTAAACTAGATCAGGCTAGCCCTCAGGGAGATTATACAGAGCAGCATCATACAGGAGAAACATCCAAAATCCTAGAAAGCCCTCTGGAAGAGGTAGATGATCTTCCTGGAGAGGAAAACATGGAAAAGATTCCTAGAGGGGCTCAGAGTTCTTCTCAACCACGTGGTTTAGAAACCCAAATTCAAAATGGCGATAGTGCAGAGTCTGACCATGTCTTGCAGTCTGAGGAAAAAGAATCAGAGGTTGAAATTCAGGACTTACAGAGAAATTTTAATAGGCTGTGTTTAACACCGCCTGCCCAGGTATTCGAATTCGGCCAGTACCTGCTAAAAGGACAAAATTTAACAGGTATGCTGGATTAAAAATGACTTTTCTTACCGCAGTCCAGCAAGGTATTAAGAAGGCTCAAGGGGCTGGGGATGTGGCTCAAGC